TTTAATCTTTTTATTTTTTTACTTTATTTTATTTTGTTTATTTTCTTTTAATTTATTTCAATTTATTTTATATCGTTTTATTTTATTTTATTTTATTTTAGAGTATTTCATTTTTTTAATTTTATTATTTTTTTCATTTTATTTCATTTTGCTTATTTAATTTTATTTTATTCCATTTTAATTCATTTTAATTTATTTTATTTTATTTTTTTATTTTATTTTATTTATTTTCTTTTATTTTTTCGATTTATTTTATTTTATTTTATTTTGTTTATTTGCTTTTAGTTTATTTAATTTTTTTATTTTTTATTTAATTATAATTTTATTTCATTTTGTTTATTTAATTTTATTTCATTTTATTTTTTTTATTTTTTATTTTATTTTATTGTTATACTTTATTTTATTTTGTCTATTTGCTTTTATTTTATTTCATTTTATTTCATTTCAATTTATTTTATTTTATTTTTTTATTTTATTTCATTTCAATTTATTTTATTTTATTTTTTTATTTTATTTCATTTCAATTTATTTTATTTTATTTTATTTCAATTTATTTTATGTTAATTTATCTAACTTTATGAAATTTTTTTATTTTATTTCACTTTATTTTATATTTTTTATTTATTTTAATTGATTTTACTTTATTTTATTTTTTTTTTTATTTCATTTTAGTTTATCGCATTTTATTCTGCTTTATTTTAATTTATCTTATTTTAGTTTATTTCTTTTAATTTATTTTATTTTGTTTTCATTTAACTTTTTTGTTTTGCTTGGTTTTCTTTTAATTCATTTAATTTTTTTATTTTATTTAAATTTTATTTCATTGTATTTTTATTGTATTTTATTTTTTTTTTAATTTATTTTATTTTATTATATATTATTATATTTTATTTCATCCTTTTTTAATATATCAAATTGTATAATATATTTTTTTTTATTTATTTTATTTTTTTTTGTTTTATTTTTATTTAAGTTGTTTCATATTATTTTATTTTACTTTATTTAAATTAATCTTTCTTCAATTTATTGTTTTTTTTAATGAACTTAATTTCAATTTATTTTACATTATTTTATTTTTCAATTAAAAAAATAAATTGGAAATTCTAGAAATAATTGATGGCAGTAAATGAAATGAAAAAGAACAAGAATTAAAAATTATTTTTCAGCATTCAGTAAATGGCAAATATTTATTTTAGCTTGATTCATTTCGATAAAATGTAAATTTCAAATTTTCAGAAAATTTATTAAAACAAACAAATGCAGCATTTTAAAGCAAATAAACAAAATGTAAATAAAATTCACCGAATTCAACCAAAAATATAAAAAAAATTATAATAATTAACATAAATGTACATATGTACATAAGTACATATTCGAACTTATTATATTGCATATGTACATATATACAAATTTATATACCAGCATATAATATTACCCACTATTTTACGCCTGACATATTTGCCTAACCGTGTAAATATCCATAATTCATTTCGATCTCATTATTCAAAAGCCTAATTACGAGTAATAATGTACAAAATAAATGGAAATTATTAAAGCCCTTTAGGCGTAAAACGCACTAACTAGTTAAATTATGGCATGCGAGCTGGAAGAATTTGCAGAATATGTATGTGTGCATAGCATATCCATGGGGATAAATATACACACGTAAATTTATGCATAATTTCCAGAATCGACATACATTTTATATATCAACTTTGGCCCACTTGCATAGATAGCACACATACATACATACATACACGTATGTAACTAAATAAATAATCAGTTAGTTTACTGTGCTCTATTAAATTGTTCAGTGCTTTTAATTTGCGAATTTATCATTACTTTGCAAATAAATAAACCTACATGCCAAACAAACATACTTAACTACATATGCATAAACCAAAAATTTATACATCTACATACATACACGTACATCTACATCTATGAAACGGTGAAAAATGACTGTAAATATTTATGACTCTATTAATTTATTCATTTTTTAATTATCTATAAGTGTTTTGCTAAATCTACGTATGACAGATGTATATACATACATGAATACATATATATATATATATAGTTATAAACTTACATACATATGTATGTTGTTATTTATGTTTCATTAAGTGATGCAGTACATATTTAGGCACATATAGGCATTTATATTGTATGTAGTATATATATACATATATGCATGTATGTACATATGTATATTTGGTATGTAAGTATGCCTAGCTAAGTAGGCTGTGTTGAATCTCTGCTGTTATTTGAAAGCGTAAAGCAATTTGAATATATACACACACATACATATGTATGTTTATACTCCTATGTTATGACCTTGTCTTCTAGCATATTTAGAGTGTAAATTGTGTACTAGTATGAGAGTAAAGTTAAAATGAAGTGTCCTTAGAGAATTGACACCTACAATATTAAGGGCTTGAGCTATTAAACTTGAGACTATGAGTAGGAATTGAATATGTATATACATACATATTTATGTATAAGGACTCTTTAGAAGTCTCTAAGTGATGTAAAACGCTTTTAGAGAAATACGGAAAAAAATACACACACACACACACATCTAATGAAAGACCCATCTTGAATTTTAGAAATTTTTTCTCGGAATTTTTTTTTCGAAATTTTTTTCCTCACTTCATAAAGTTTTCATGTATGTTTAATTCCTCGAACATTTTCCCGCGCAAGCTCCCAACTAGAAGAGTCCTTTGAGAATTACAACTTGAATTCCCCAACAAAATAAGTTCGGAAGTTTAAAAATGTTGAAGAAAATGGAGTTTAGTTTAGTTGTACTAATTTGGCTCACGCTTGGGTTTTTATGGTCCATTTCAATACCATTGTAAGGGCTCTATCACCTTCGCGCATTGACAAACCATTTAGATTGTCTATCTTTAGTGCTTGCTACGGTTAGCTGAGCAATACAGTTGGTGTCACATGGTGCTAGGTGTTGAACTATGGCAGAGATGCTTCTCCCCGTTCCACGTCACGGCAACGACAAGAAAAGTCATTTGAGAAATAGCTAATTTTTTTTCCAGTTCAGTAGAAGTAAATCTCCTGATCTTTTAACGTCTAGTGCTGATAATATCCCGAAAAAAAATCAGTTGGTTTCATTACTTCTCTTGTCTTTTTATAGTGAAAGCCGATTTTAATATCTTTTGCAGAGTTGGTATTAGTTAAGATGATTCCCTCGACCACTGGGCTTGGTTGCTCAGTAGATCTCTTTACTTGGGTAACCAAATCATTAGAAAGATTCCACATTTTACTGTTACTTTTGAGTCGTTGCAGTTGCATTGAAGAGATCTGATGCCAGCTTGGCCCTTAGGGTATAATTGAAAGAAGGAGGCTGATGTGAACAGCTGATAGAAGGGAAGATAAACGGCGTTAAGTTGGGAATTAATTATTCTTTATTATAGTGGACCTCGCTTAAGCTATTATAACCGAGTTTATAATAGTGCACCCGACTTTTCGCCAGTCTTGTGGCGAATTCGGCTATATTTGTAACAAAAAGTTACGCAAAACCTATCTCTCCAAAGCTCTTAGTGTCGACGTCACATCGGTTGTCGTCATCGTCAACGCTTCTACGCCATGCAAATTGCAAGACGGGTGATGCTTGTAAAGTTTTAGCTTTGTTTGTCGAGAGAAAACTTTACTTTACAATTGCCTACTCAGTCGTTAGTGGAATCTTTGAGGTGTGGTGATTCTACATCGGATTTCTAACCCACGGGTAAACTTAAGGGATTCACTGAATTCTTTTTGCAGCATTTCTTCAGCAGATGTGCGACTGCGAGCGTAAATTTTGTCTCCTAGAGAAGTGAAGTTGTATTATTCAGCATGTAATAATCACTTCCAATGAATTGTAATCTTTCTTTTTTTGCAGTCAGTTTTTGTTCGTCGATTGAAATGCCACTTCTGATTTAATACGCTTCAGTCGGAGAAAACACGTGCCTATTTCATTTGCTTGTAAAAACAACGAATAAATTTTTATGTGAAAATGGACTCTTACTCGCCAAGCTTACTCGCTACTCTTACATACGTGTAGTAGAGTTGCGAGCTAATATTTTTTTTACTAATTACAAACTAAGGTTGCCAGCTAAACATAATGACTAAAAAACTACAAATGCTTATGTGCGCTCCAACCGCCGAGTAAAAGGAGCTTAATTTAAGCATTTAAAAACTTTAACGAAATTTTTCAACAATTTTTTCTTAAAGACAAATTAATATAAATTTATTAAAATATTGGTTTACCCAGTCTAATGCACACACAAATCAGCTACAATTTTTAGATACACTTGTTATTATGTATGTATGTGGCTTAATTCAATTTGTTTGAAAATTAAATAGCGGAAATTATAATTTACTCCGACTGCTAATATTTTTTTTTCCATTTCCACTGAGTTTATTTTTCGGAAACGACACTAAAAGTTTTTTAATTATATTTTAGCTAGCTGTAGCGTCGTATGGAAAAACCACTGAAAAATAAATAAAGAATAAATCCCCAAAATAAAATATTTATATACCCATATATAAGTATGTATTGTATATACAACGACTAATAATTTTACTAGACTTTTTGTGGGATTATGCGAGTTTTCGTTTCGTTTCATTTTCAATGCTTTACAAAATAATTGGGTCATGAGTGAGTGGCAACTTATTTAGCATCACGCCAAAAGTAGGCAATTTAGTTAGTATTATATGTGAAATCATATTATTTGGATAATGTTGCAAATAAAATGTTGCCTACAACCAGGCGCAACACCAAATATGTTAGCACAGATGCGCACCACATATGATATGTTAGGCCTTGAAATGAACTAAAAGAAGCATAATAAAATAAAAAAATAGCTAATTATTGGTAAACTGTGAATTATTTAAATATTTTTTAAATCCTTTGCTAATATAAAATAAAAATAAAAATAATAATAAATATAAAAAATAATATTTGCCGTATTCGTAACATAATCTTTTCGTTGAACTTTTTAATACAGATACTTTGTGGTATCACAACACAATATGGAGCTTGTCTCAAAATCAAATATGAGCGCTTTGGAGGATCGTTCTTCCAAGAGTATGGGTACGTGAACATATAGTTAAAAAAAAATAATTAAATAAAAATATAAAAAAATAAAAGTAATATCTTTTATATAATAGAAAAATAAAATTTATTTAAACATTTTTGTATTCTTTTTTTTTTAAACAGAAAAACTCAAAATGTTGGACATAACACGAGATCGACCAGTTAAAGTAGCTGTCAAAGTGGCCGTACCAGTACGAGATCATCCAAAGGTGATTTTACTAAACAAAAAAAAAAAAACTAATATAAAAAACACGAAAATTCACATTAACCAAAAACAGTTTTTAAATATTTTCAAACATCTCCCAACATCTCTCCCTTTTGTTTTCCAAAATTATTTAGTTAGTTCTTTCATTTATCTTCCCTTCTAGTTTAATTTCGTTGGCAAACTTCTGGGTCCGAAAGGCAATTCCATGAAACGACTGCAGGAGGAGACTATGTGTAAAATGGCCGTATTGGGTCGTGGTTCGATGCGCGATCGTAAAAAGGAGGAGGAATTGCGTGCTAGTGGTGATAGTCGTTACTCACATCTCTTCGAAGATTTACATGTGGAGATTTCAACATTTGCAGCGCCTGCAGAAGCTCATGCACGCATTGCATATGCATTGGCCGAAGTGCGAAGGTTTTTGGTGCCGGTAAGTGTAGTTAAAAGAAGTGGTGAGTATGGTGTGACAGGAGGTTTAAGTGGAGATTCTTCCGATAGAATTAGGATAAACATAAAATTAGTGTGACTTCTCGGAGTTGATCGTTTTCAAACATATACTGAGCTCACCGCCGTTCCAAAACTAATATACGTGTACGTTAGAAGAAGCTGCTGCTGACCGAATTCCATTCAAAACGTGCAATAGACCCGATTAAAGGATAAATGGAACATCCGAAAACGACTCTTATCAAGGCTAAAGCTTAAGACTCTGGCTGGCAAAATTTGAACTCGATCCACCCCACCTATCGCAAATTATGTAGGTTAGATTAAATAGAAGTTCCCGATTCCATCAGGATCATACTTAGACACATTGCGCATGACCGTTTTTAAACCACAAAGAGTAAAAATAGCCTAAACGCTAGACATCTTTTCATTAAATAATCGATTTGAGCATGTCAGAACTCCCATTAAGTGTGATCTTGAGTTGGAGAGGTTCCTCCCTGACCTTTCATCGGCCACCTTGGGTCAAAAGGACCTTCAAACTACGTATCTTGCGTTGTTGACCCAGGGCTCGCTAAATTGGTTCAAGGCCAACTTACTATAAGCAGAGCGCATGCTGACAGAGGATCGCCTATTTTGCGCTTACTCTGTCCTTTAACGAAGCTGTGGTACCCGTACGTCGCAACAACATACACCTGATAAACACAACAATGGTTTAGTCACTTTCGATACTGAAGACTACCGGGCGTACCTTCTTGTCGGGCTCCAATCCACCTTTTTATAAGTTAAGTGTTTTCCAGTCCTCCGTGGAAAGATACAAAAAATCATGAAGAGCTCTCACCAATTACGGCCGTGCTGTAATATCAAGGTTCCGAAGCTTTCTTCTTTCTCTCGTCGATGCCTTCCAGGACAGTTTCCTATCTAGAAGTTAATAATTTTATGAGCATTAATGTGCTGCGAAGCCTCCTTCACAGTTTGACATCCTATAATTAGGAAATCGACTTTTCACTCTCCAGGATTACCACGATGACATACGACAAGAGCAAATGTGGGAAATGCAAGCATTGAGTTCCTCGTCATCGCTGACCTTCTCCGACGATCAGCACAGTCCCAATCGCGGTGGTGTCACTGATATGGATACATCGAATGATGACAAACTCGAGATGGAACCCAATGGGATGGAGTGCAATGCATTAGACAAGAATGATGTACAACAGGTGGGTTTAAGTAGTGAGCAATTACACCAGCATCAGCAACAGCAACAGCAACAGCAGCAACAACAACAGCAACAGCAACAACGCAATTTACATCATCTACTCCACCAACCACCACCGACCAACCGCAACACCAACAACACCATAGCAATGGCATCTAATCACCACACCAATCTCTTGCCGAACGGCGTTGATGGAATTTGTCAGAAAACGAATGCCAGCAACACAGCTACGACAAGTAAGTTATTGCATTACAATCCAACATTACAACACCCGCACCCGTCCGCTTGAATGTGTAACAACAATAATTTGGCAATTAAAGTGAATTCCTTCCCACTAGTACATCCAGCCGCCATGTCGGTGGCATTGCAACACCAATTGACCGCTGCCAGTATTGGTAATATATTGAAGCCAGCACCGAGTGCGGGCGGCTTGCCCACAGTGACTGACTTACATACAGCGGCGCAACAGCCAACTGCTGCCGGTGGCATTCCATTGCCGACGGAAAGTGAAGCGTCCATGGCAGCCACCTTGGGTTTGTTGGATCCACCTGCTAGTACGTTGCTGCATCCGGCGTTGCGTAGTGTTAAGGCGATCAATATTGGTGAGTCGAGAGGATATGAGGAGATGTTTATTAAATTAAATTGTGGTCTCTCTCTCCCTCCTTCTATATTTTTTTTATCCCCATTTCTCTTTTCTTTCGGGTTTTTTTTTGCAGCGGGTGGCTTGGCACGTAAGCGTCCCCTACTGGGTGTGCCCCGTTCGAGCATGAATCCAACTAAACGCACTGTTATGACTTTGCTAGCCAGAGCTAAGAACTCGCAGGCTCTACACGCGGTACGAAATCCGATTGCAGCAGCCACGGCAGCAAGATTTGCTGAGTAAGTAAATTAAATTTTTCTTTATTTTCTCTCATATGTGCTCCCGACTATAGTTTTCTCTCTTTGGTGTGCTTTTGGATTTCTGTGTAGGCGTAGACGCCAATGATTCTGAATCTTCCAAACAGCACCCTCTCGGGTATTTTTATTGGGCTTTTCGCTTCCTAATTCCTTGAGTTGCTTGCCTTTGCAATGTTTAATCTTCGGTTTCCTGAACCCTTTCGGCGGAAAGGGGAGTCCCTTCTCCCTGGGAAGGTCGTGATGATATACCACTCTCCATCTTTCCGAACATTTTCAAGTATTAAAAGACAACGACAAACTGCTCTGCCGTGGTAATGTACTACTCCTCGTCTTTACGAACATAATCAAGTATAAGGAGCAACCGAGGAACTGTTCTTACCTGGTAAAGCACTGCAGGTCATCTTTAGAAACTTTTTTAGATATTTAGTTACGGGAGAACTACTCCATCTCTGGAGACGTCTTGGTGAGCTCTAGCTCTCCACTTTGTGAGCTCACTTCTTCATAGTGGTGAGGGCCTACTCCGCCTCTGGCAGGGTAGCAGCTTGGACCTACTCCTCTTAAATGAGACCCGTAGGAAAACGGATATGGGCAATCACTTTCTCACTCCGAAGTCCTTCTCTTTTTTGTATTGTACCCGATTTTTCATTCCGAGGGCTTCCTATTGTATGCGATTTCTTTTTCCAAAGCCTTTCTTTTTCCTATTTTACCCAATTTCTCATCGGAAAATCCCATTTCTCATTCCCTAGTCATTATATTTTCGTTTTGTATCCCCTTCCCCCTGCAAAACCTCTCTACTTTTATATCCGAGTTGTCCATCTGAAGTCTTCCTATTTTCTTATTGTATGCAATTTCTTATTCCAAAGCCAAAGCCAAAAATAGGAAAATATTTTATCTAATTTCTCAGTCCGTAGTCCTCCTATTTTTTCGTTGCAACCGATTTTTTATTCTTTCCTTTTATTCATTGTTCCCGATTTTTCCTTGTTAAGCCCTTTAATTTTCTTTTTTTTACCAGATTTCTAATTCCGCATCCTAAGAACTATTTCCGATATCCATCCGACCTCGATATCGATGTCCTGTATAGAGTTAGGTTTATTGAAATGTTCTCTTCTGTATGCTTATATTTTCTGTTTCCCCGTTATCGATAACTCCTTTTCGATATCAGTTTTTCCGTTACCGATTTCATATTTTTCTCTTTGCGGTTCCTTGTGTTCTTCACCATATCTACAGAGCAATATTTTATAGATTATTTTTTCTTTTCCTCAAGTCCCTTACAGATGCTCACCTCCCCATTCATATTGTCCCAGCCCATGGATCAGTCGATGCTAACATTCCCCAAGGAGAGTCTCGCGCAAGGAGTTTAAGTATTTCACAACAAAAACAAAACAACAACAAGGTATTTTTATTTGAAGAAAAAGCAAAATTTTGATTCTTATTGAGCCCGCCTCCACCTACACACCAATGAATTACAATTAAGAAATCACAAAAGAAAAAACTAAGAAAATTTAATTAAAATATTTAAAATAAAACTCGCCCAACGCAAATATAAATTTAATTAAAAACCAAAAAAAAAAAAAGAAAATCTAACAAAACGTCAAATGTTTAAATAAAATAATGAAAAAATAAAAATAAAAATTAAAAAACTCAAAACTAAAATTAATAAATTATACAGATATTTATACAATTATACCTAAAACTTATCGGAATGTTGAATTTGACGACGACACATTGCGATTATTAATTATTATGAGAAGAAACACATCTTTAGGGACTAACCGGCAACATAAGTGTACACGACAAGTAACTTTGATAACAAAAACATAAAACGCAATATATTTTATTTACACATAAAACTAAACACTTAAACTATTATATGAAAAATACTAAAATCAAAGCAAACAAAAAAGAAAAAAAAAATATTTAGCAAATATAAGCAAAGTCTTAAAAAACATAAATAAATTGAAATAAAAAATGTCTTGACAACGCAAAAATTTGTTTTATTCTACATATTCACATTATAAATAAATGAAAAAAAAAACGAAACAAAAACAAACAAAAAGCAAAAAACCAAAAAATAAATATTTAAATGCTAAACGTATTATATTTAAATAAATAATATCTAGTTGATAATAAAAATGGGAAATTAAATTAAGATTTAAACAACAACATTGCAATTTAATGTGAAACAACTTTAATGTGAGACATAAACAGCAAACGAAATTACTTTAAAGCATTACTTTAAAACATTACAAATTTTTAAAGAAATATTATATATTTATATTGTATTGACATAATTTTTTTACGATTTTAGACTTGCAAACGCAATTAGTTTCATGTTGCTATGAATGTGTGTACTAAATATAAATAAATAAACAAGCAAATAAATAAACAGTATATATATATATATAAATGTATTTGTATTAGTAGTGTACGTGCATGCAATAACCACATAACATACATACATGCAAACATAAAAAATATTTACAACAAATTTGAGCAATGATCCGCGTCCTTAGCCAACCAAGGCAATGGTTTCAAAGCAATGCAAGGGCAAACGATGCACATTTTTATCGATTTATCGATTGTTGATAGTAAGAGAGTGACGAAAGTTTACGGAAGAACATTTAAATCAAATTAAAGTCGAGATAAAATAAAATAAAGCTTAACGTAATTAAATTTAAAAAACATATTAATGAAAATAAAATAAAATAATAACAAATTAAATAAAATAAACTATAATATAATAAATAATTTAAAACTAGAATTACATTAAATAAATAAATTATAATATAATAAATAATTTAAAACTAAAATCAGTTTAAATAAAAATAATAACGAATAAATTAACAGAAGCAATATAATAGAATACAAAATAGTAATATAACAAAGAAATAAAAAAAAAATAAAATGAAATACAAGAAAATGTAAAAAAAAATAACAAAATATTACTATGATAATAAAATAAAATTATAATAACTCAAAAAAAAAAATATATAAAATATAAAATGAAATAAAAGAAATAACAAATAATATTAAGTAAAATAATATCAAATAAAATGAAATTGATTTAAGTCTAATAAAATGAAAAAAAAAAAAAACAAAATAAAATAAAATAAACTGTAACAAATTTTAATAAGAGAATAAAATAAAATTATATAAACTTAAAAAAATATATAATAATATAAAATCAAATAAAAGTAATAACAAATAATATTATGTAAAATAATATCAAATAAAATGAAATTGGTTTAAGTCTAATAAAATGAAAAAAATAAAATAAAATGAAAAAAAAAACAAAATAAAATAAAATAACATAAAATAAACTATAACAAAATAAAATATAAGAATAAAATAAAATAATATAAAATATAATAATATAAAATCAATTAGAAGAAATAACAAATAATATTAGTAAAAAAATATCAAATAAAGTGAAATTGATTTAATTCTATTAAAATAAAAAAAAAAAATGCTATAAAGCAGCATTAAATAAAATAATATAAAATTAAATGAATTATAATTGAAAAATAAAAATAAATCAAAATAAATTAAAAAATATAAAATAAGTTAAATCAAAATAAAATAAGATAAAAAATAAAATATATAAACTAACTTAATTAAATTTATTTAAGTCTAGTAAAATAAAAAAATAAAAGGAAATAAAACAAGATTAAATAAAATAACTAAAAATAAAATTAATTCAAATAAAAAAAAAAATAAAGTAACATAAATAAATCAATGAAAGTAAAATATTAATAAAAGAATAAAATACAATAATATAAAATAAAAAAAAAAAATAAAAAATAACAAATAATATTAAATAAAATGAAATTGAGTTAAGTCTAATAAAATAAAAAAAAAATGAAATGAAAAAAAAATTAAATAAAATAAACTAAATCAAAAGACAATATTAAAACAAAAACAAAGTGAAATAATATAAACTAAAAAAAAAAATTAAAATAATATCAAATAAAATGAAATTGATTTAAGGATATTAAAACAAAATATTAAAATTAACTAAAACAGAACTAAATAAAATAACATAAAATAAAATGAATTAAAATTGTAAAATAAAAATAAAACAATAAAGTAAAATTAAATCAAAATAAATTAAATTAAGAAATAAAATAAATGAAAAAATAAAATGAAATCAATAAAACCAAAAGAAATAATAAAAAATAAAAATAATTAAATAATAAATGATATAAAGTAAAATAATTTCAAATAAAATGAAATTGATTGAAGTCCAATAAACTAAACTAAACTCAAATTAAAAAAAAAAAAAAATAATGTAAAATAAAATTATGTAAAGTAAATAATAAAAGAATAAAAATAAAATACAACAAAATCAAAATATGCTATATAAATAAAAAAATATGAGATAAAAAAAATAAAAAAACAATAAATATACGTATATATATAATATAGTAAAACAATTTAATATAATACAAATTAAACAAATAAAATAAAATATAAAATTAAATAAATAACTTAATTATATTATTTAATAATTAATAAAATAAAATAAATTTAAAGAAAAAAAAATTAAAATTAGAACTAATTTATTTGAAGGTAAATTAAAATAAAATTTACTTAAATTAAACTAAATTAAAATAATAAAAGCTTAAACTAAATTAAATTTAGTCAAACAAAGCTAAATTAAAATAAATAAAATCAAATAAAATTGAATAATGTAAAATATTAAAATGAAGCATAGTGAAGTTAACAAGAAATCAAATCAAATATAGTTACGATAAAGTAAAAAATTTAAAAAAAATCAAATAAAAATGAAAAACATAATATAATAAAATAAATAATAATATAATATAATAATATAACAATAATATAATTAATAATAAATTTAAATTGAATTTAATAAAAGAAAAACAATATATAAAAAATGAATGAAATTCAACAAAATTTAATAAAGTCATATAAAAAATTAATAATATTAAATAATTTTTAATTAAAATAACGTAAATAAAACAAAGTAAAATTTAATAACAAAATGCAGTAAAATAAATAAAATAAAATAAAGTATCTTATAATCAAAAAATAAATAGCTAAACAAATTATAATAAATTTAAATAAAATATAGTTAACATAATTGAAATACAAACATTAAACTGTTATAATAATAAGTTATTTAATAAATGTGTTAAAAAAAACAGACTTTCCACGCAGATCTTCGCTCATAGCTTCCAAAAATGCATAAAAAATAAATATAAATCATATTCAATTATATACATATATAAATATTGCATGCTGCTACATTTCATGTGTGCGCGTTTGGTAAAGTAAAAAATGTTAATGGGAGAATATTTAAAATAAATATTTACAAAAAAAAAAAACGGAACAAACTAAAGCACTCAACAATAAATAAATATGCCCACACAATATTTAAGAGAATAAAATTGAAATAGAAAAAATGCAATAAAAAACATGCTAAGTAGATATATATAATTTTTTTTTATTTTTTATTTTTTACATGAGAGTTATTAAATGAATTTAGTTATATTATTTTATTTTTATTTTTACGCTTTCGATAAATACATGTTAATATTGTTAAATATTAACTTTGCACAAATTTATTTCTAGTACAAAGCTTTTAATTATTTTATGTGCATTTATTTAATTTTTTGCTTACCTTCATTTATTAGTATAATTTTTCATTTGAATATATTTTTGTATTTTTTTATAATTTTTTATTTTTTACTTTTGTTTAATTATTATTATTTGTTATTATATTATTTTTTCATTTCATTAATATTTTTTATTTCACGATTCGTTTTTAATTTTTATTATTATTATTATGCTATTTTTCATTTAATTATATAATAGTTTAATTCTTTACTGGTTATTCTTTCTTATTATTTTTCATTTCTTAATTCTTTTATTTTTATTTATTTTTTCTTATTATTATTTTTAACTAATTACTTTTTTATATTGATTAGTATTGTTTACTAATATATTTATATTTTTTCTTTTCATATTTTTTAAATTTTATATCATTATTTTTTATTTAATTAATTTTTTTCTCATTTCATATTTTTTAATATAATTATGTTTTCTGTTATTATAGTTGTTTTTCACTTAAATTTATTTTTAATTTTTTATAATTATTAGTTTTTAATTTTTTAATTTATTATTTATTTATTTATTTATTTATTTATTTTTTTATTTATTTATTTATTTATTTATTTATTTATTTATTTTTTTATTTATTTATTTATTTATTTATTTATTTATTTATTTTTTTATTTATTTATTTATTTATTTCTTTATTTATTTATTTATTTACTTATTTATTTGAAACAGTTATAAATAATTATATTATTCTTCAAGAGTTCTTATTTATTTCATAACTCTGTTTCAATTTTGTTATTACTATTGTATAATTTTTTTTAAAAATCTTTATTAATTTTCAACTAATTATTTTTTTTATCATTTATTTAATTATTTTTGAATTTTTATTTTCACTTATTATTATTTTTTCATTATTATGATTTTTTTATTTATTAATATCAGTATTATTTATATGTATTTAATATTATTATTAATATCTATTAATTATTATTATTATTATTCATTTATTATTATTTTTTCATTTCTTTTGATTTTTTTCCTTACTAACAGACTGTTATAGTAAAAAAAATTTTCTTAAAATCAAATTTCAAGTTTAAACACTACAAATAAATATTGTATATATGTATATATTTTGTTTCCTACCAATTCATTTCTTTTAACTCGAGCGCACCCTGTGTTTGCCAACAGTACGCAAAAGGGTGTTCACAACCACACCTCTGCCACAAATACTCGTATGTATGTATGTGTAGTTTGTGTGTCGTGGAAATGTGTTCCATTAGTTCATTTTCACTTTAATTGAGAATTATGCACTTTTTACGCTCATTTAATTACATTACAATTATGCAAACTTATATTTATGTACTTATACATACATACATACATATGTACATGCATTACAGCAAACGCCAACACATTGCATTGCAATAAAATTAATTTTCAAATTATTATTATTAAATAAAGTATATTGAGAAGGAAAGAAATACATTAAATCAATGTAATTTACACACACACATACATACAGATAAATAATAATTAATGTTAATAAATGCATACAGAAACAAATAAAGGTATATTATATGCATATAAACATATTTATATAAATTTGTGTGTGTATATTGTTGCTAAGGCAAGCGCTTTAAGAGTAAAACACAACAAAAAGGAACGAACAAAAAATGGAATCAAAATGTTTTTTTTTTGTTTTTTGTTAAATAAGAACGCATTAAATTATTAATTAAAAAAAATTAAAATTAAACTAACAAAGGAAACATTTAAAAATTAAATACATTAATTAAAAAATATTTAAATAATATATATATATATATATATATATATACACGTAACTAAATGTTAGCAGCGATACTAAATGCATTTTAAGTAACTAATTCAACAAAAAAAGAAATGAAAAATATATATACACTTAAAAAAAAAATTATATAAAAAATTAAATTAACATAAAACAAAAACAAAACAAAAAGATAAGTATACATACTTACATATAAAGCAATTACATACAAATAATTAACTCTTGTACCACAAATATTGATTACTGCATGTTTCAATGTGAAAAGCTAACGGTGTTGAATTTGAAAAGCAAAAAAAAAAAAAAACAAAAAAGCAAAAAAACAAAAACGGTTTGGGTTGGCCAGAGCAAAAGCAAAAGCAAAAGCGAAGAAAAAAAGCAACAAATGCAATAACATAACAAGGTTTGGCTGAGGTTTAACAATTAATTGTTCCGCAAGCGAATGGAAAATGAGAATATTCAAAACAGAAAAAAGCATTAATTGATATGACGCATATTTAAATTATGAATTAAAATTGAAAATTTAACAAACTTAAAATTAAATTATTAAACAGGGTGTTCTTGCGCATGCATTATGTGCTAATTACTGACAAGGGAAACAACCGAAGAAATATATATACATACTTACATACACATGCGACATACAATACTAACATGCCACACCACACAAGCATACAGCGAAAGACGACTAATGTCAACATGAAACGCAATTTAATAAAAAATAAAAATTAAATTTTTTTTCGTGCGCCCAAAAAGTGTTAATGGTTTTTTATTCAAAAAAAATGAAAGGAAGGTCTCAGATTACAGGTAAGTAGTGTGTTAAACAAGCCCACAAACGTGTGTTAGATGAGCCAACCAACTCGTCAGGAGTCTTTTCGAGTCACTGCTAAAGAGAGGCGAGCTTTGGCGAGTCCCCATCGGGTATATGTGGTTTGAGGGTTCGCTGAAGTGTTAATGCAGCAGCTGTTTATCGGAGGTGCGGCGACTTATAGCTGGCGGCTAATTACATTGGTTGTCAAATATCTCCCTTCCGCTTTTTTGTCTTTTGAATTTCGCGGCTATGTACAAAGCGCTCGGAGCTCGTATCTGGCAACACTATAAATAATTTTAAAAGGTCTTGACATAACCTACAAAACAACGCAATGTATGATTAGTTTGGATATTGCGTTCAACAGTTATAGACGTGTAAACATGGAGTTCACTAACGCGTTAAAGGCAAATCCGCTAGAGAAACGTTCCGTGAGATTAATGGTGTTTTGGGGGATGGTACTCTATCACTTCGAACCGCGGAGGAATGGTTTCGACGATTCAGAGCCGGTGAAAACGACACCATGGATAAGCCAGCCGGCGGAAGACCTGTGACGACAAATACCGATCAAATCATGGAATACATCGAGTTAGACCGGCATATGGCATCTCGTGACATCGCCCAGGAGATGGGAGTTAGTCACCAAACCATTTTGAACCATCTGCAGAAGGCTGGATACAAAAAAAAGTTTGATGTTTGGGTGCCGCATAATTTGACGCAAAAAAACCTTCTGGACCGAATCAACGCCTGCGATATGCTGCTGAAACGGAACGAACTCGACCCATTCTTGAAGCGGATGGTGACTGGCGACGAAAAATGGATCACATACGACAATATCAAGCGAAAACGGTCGTGGTCGAAGGCCGGTGAATCGTCCCAAACAGTGGCCAAGCCGGGATTGACGGCCAGGAAGGTTTTGCTGTGTGTTTGGTGGGATTGGAAGGGAATCATCCACTATGAGCTGCTCCCATATGGCCAGACGCTTAATTCTACCATCTACTGCGAACAACTGGACCGCTTGAAGCAGGCGATCGACCAGAAGCGTCCAGAATTGGCCAACAGGAAGGGTGTAGTGTTCCACCAGGACAACGCCAGACCACACACTTCGTTGATGACTCGTCAGAAGCTACGGGAGCTCGGATGGGAGGTTTTATCGCATCCACCATATAGCCCGGACGTAGCGCCAAGTGATTACCACCTGTTCCTGTCCATGGCGAATGCCCTTGGTGGTGTGAAGTTGAACTCAAAAGAGGCTTGTGAAAAGTGGCTGTCCGAATTCTTCGCAAATAAGGAGGGGGGCTTCTACGAGGAAGGTATTATGAAGTTGCCGTCTAGATGGAAACAGATCATCGAACAAAACGGAGCATATCACTGTAACACTTTTTATAAAGCATTGAATGAAGAGCAAAAAAGCGGAAGGGAGATATTTGACAACCTTATATATGTAAATGTCTTTTCCATGTATACCTCTTCCCACAGCGAGATTGTGCGCTGAGCTTGGGACTTACACGTAAAAGCAAACTGGCAAACAAGTTGGTTTATGTCTAGCATCAACGCCATACAGGTGACGCGATAAAAGGGACAAGGACGAAAGAGAGTAAGTTTATTATAAATAAGCAATAATTTCTTGCTGTGATAAGCGAGAAACTTCCCCGCAGGTTACTATCGTTCATCCCGCTAAACGAGCACCTAATCATATAAGCACAGCGGCTGTCTTAGGATCGATGAACTGTTAACCAAATCAAACATATCGTTATAGGTCTAAATATTAACTCAAACCACTTTCTTGCCAAGATACGCACCCACCTCTATGCAGTTAAGAATGACCATCAAGAAATGCAAGATAGGTTCCAAGTCGAGAAGCAGCTGCAATCTCAATAAACGCATCAAAGAAATGCGCTTGATCCAAGGTCTTATATATATTTTTAAGTATATTCCCGTAATAATTAGCACAAATTGTACGGCCCCCCGTTTTTTCCAATTCTTCGCCCCATATGGGAATAGCACCGCCATTACACTAAACGGCTCACGAATTTTTCTTATTCCTCTGACGGGCAATTTCTAATCAAACTTCTTCTTAGTTGGGTACTGAAAGGTGCAGGTCGGCTCTTTGGATCTTTTATAAGTAAACTGCGGTCACCACATTTTCTCGCTCGACATTACCACTGGCAGCCAGCTGCCCAATTCGTACTAAAACATTTCAATCTCTCATTTCTTCGGTTTCCGAAAGCGTCTCTCTTAACTCTCCAACTCTCGGTATCTCTTCCAGACAGCTCCTACTGCTGTCGATAGTAACGTTGCGAGGCAGCTAATAAAGGGTTTTCCCCTTCATTTTGGTACGGTAATAATTAGCTACTAGACTGATTGGTCTTATCGAAAACTACCAATTCCGTTAGCGGCCGTGCGTAGGGAACTTGTAGTGTTCCAAAGTTCCCTTCAAGAGCTCCTTTCTTGATGGTTATCTGCATAGTAGTACGCACTGTTAACTGCTCGAATACTACGGCTGACGAAAGGTTTGCTATTTATTTAATATGATTTGCAATAAAAAACCATAAAGGTCGGAGAGATGCTTGAAATTTTCGTCGATTTTCTAGTTAAATAAAATATGTGCTTGCGTGTGTAGGCGAGAAAAAATTTGTTTAAAAAAAAAGTACTTCTTCTTCGAAATAGATATCTATATTTACTTATGTACATATATATGTATGTTTGTATGCTTGTATGTATGTATGTGGCAATTCAAGTCTAACCGCGCCTTCGAATACTCGTATTCATAATTTCATAAAACAAGCACGTACCTACTTAGTCTTGCATTATTCATAAACTCGTTCTCAAATTCATAGCACCAGCATATACATATACATATGTATGTATGCACATTTAATTAATTTTAAGGCATTGAATTTCGTCAACAAACAAACTCCTTGCTCCACTTCTAATCTCTGCTTTGATGTTGTATTCAAATTAGAATTTCACAATCTACAAGTCATTTGCAATAGAATTTATCGATAAATCATTAGTTGTCGATTACCGAACTCTCAAGTCCCAAACAAACTAGTATTAATGAGTGGCAGCACTCGCGAACTGCTGATATCACACCCACCAACAATTGTTATCAAAACTTTATTTGTTTTGATTTTGTGTAGAATGTTTTTGTGTGCTTTTTGCTGCGCTGTTTAAGCGAAACATCGTCAACTAATCTTCAGCTACACAGTATTTATCATTCGTGACTATCTGGTATGATTTATATGCGAGCAGCAAGTCTTGTTCAGCTCACAGAATCCACTTTGCATTCCAGCTGTACGGACGTAGTAATTATAAATACATTCATACATATGTACATTTGTATATACGTGCACACAAAATTGCATACCAATAAAAATTTGAAATCTCTTATTAAGCTATAATCAAGTGAATTGTGAAATTGTGTAAAATGGCAGCGGCTGCAGTGGCAACAGGTGGAAAATATTGTTTTGCCATTGATCGTGGTGGCACCTTCACCGATATACTTTGCATACGTCCTGATGGCACAGTGCGTACGTTAAAATTGTTATCAGAAGATCCCAGACGTTATAGTGACGCACCGCGAGAAGGCATACGACGCATATTGAAACAGGTAAGCAAAATTTGGCATTAGAAAAGACAAAGCCTCATATATTTTCGTTGTAAATTCCAAGGAAACAGGATACGATGTTACTCCAGAAGGACTTGTAGATACTAGTCACATCGGTTGGGTGCGTATGGGCACTACTGTGGCCACAAATGCATTGCTCGAGCGCAAAGGTGATCCTGTGGCGCTTGTGGTTAATGAAGGCTTCCGTGATCTACTGTATATTGGCAATCAAGCGCGTCCGAAAATCTTCGACCTCAACATACGTAAACCAGCGAATTTGTATAAAACTGTAGTGGAAATTAGTTGTCGCCTCGTACCCGAGCAAGCGGAGCGCTGTAAATTGGGTAAGCACCCGTGCTGTTACACAACCATGACTATGCAGCTTTTCAAAACACTACCATTATTTAATAGAACACAATTGGCCAGTGCTTGAGGGTACATCAGGTGCAAAATACTTAGAAATGCAAGCAGTCGATGTCGAGGCTGTGCGTAAGTCGTTACAAGAAGTGCGCCAGCAAGGCATTACAAGTGTGGCTGTGGTGTTGGCGCATAGCTTTGCTTGTCCTGTGCATGAACTGGCGGTTGGTAAAATAGCCGAAGAGCTCGGATTTACGCACATAACACTCTCTCATCAGGCCATGCCGATGAGGCGTTTAGTAGCGCGCGGTTATACTGCCTGCGCTGAGGCGTATTTAACACCGCATGTCGAGCGTTATCTCAATAGGTAATAAAATCTTGCTTATCAATTGAAATTTAAGCAGATAAATTGTAGAATTAGTTAAAAATACAGTACATTCATTATCTGTTCTGAACATAACATACATTTTGTATGACTTCAATTTAGCTAATTTAATTTTTTTTTTCTTATCAAAACAATTTTCAGCTTTAAATCCGGTTTTGATAAGGAGTTGGCTGGCGTTGACATTCTTTTCATGCAATCTGATGGCGGTCTGGTGCGTATGGAAAACTTTCGCGGTGCGCGCGCTATACTCTCCGGACCAGCGGGCGGCGTTGTCGGCTACGCACAGACAGGCGCGCGTGAAACCGACGCACCACTCATTGGTTTCGATATGGGTGGCACATCCACTGATGTTTCACGCTATGCTGGCACCTATGAGCATGTAATTGAGAGTACCACCGCTGGTGTTACCATACAAGCGCCGCAGCTAGACATAAATACGGTGGCAGCGGGAGGTGGCTCCATGCTTTTCTTCCGTTCTGGTCTCTTTGTAGTCGGTCCTGAATCAGCAGGCGCACATCCCGGGCCGGCTTGCTACAAAAAGGGTGGTCCACTAACCGTGACAGATGCTAATTTAATTTTGGGGCGCCTATTGCCTGAATATTTTCCAAAAATATTCGGCCCCAAGGAGAATGAAGCGCTCGATTTTACTGTTACCAAAGAGAAATTCGAACAAATGCGCGCTGTTATTAATGAGTACCTGCGTGGCGGCGGCGGTGAGAAACAGTTAACGGTAGAGGATGTTGCTTTGGGCTTTATACGCGTCGCCAATGAGGCGATGTGCCGTCCGATTAGAGCGCTAACGCAAGCGCGCGGTTTGGACACATCACAGCATGTGTTGGCATGCTTTGGCGGCGCTGGCGGTCAACATGCCTGCTCTATAGCACGTGAGCTGGGCATAAACAAGGTTTGTAGAATGGGAATTACTATGATATTGTTGAGTCGATTTTGATATTCTTCTTGATTTATTCTTGTAGGTGCTCGTGCACAAATACGCTGGCATACTCTCCGCTTATGGCATGGCGCTTGCCGATGTCGTACAAGAGACCCAGGAACCTTGCGGGTTACCATTTACAGTCGAGAATGCCGCTTTCTTCAAAACGCGCCTGGATGCCTTAGCTGCTCAATGCACTACGAGCTTGCAAACTCAAGGTTTTCAAAAAATTGAGTTAGAGCCTTTCTTGCATTTACGCTATGACGGCACGGATTGCGCTTTAATGTGCTCGCCTGCAGGCACAACGAGCAAAGCGGATATCTTACATGCTTCCTATGGCGATTTCGTCGCCACATTCCTACAGCGCTATCGCACTGAGTTCGGTTTTGTTTTACAAAATCGTGCCATTGTCGTTGATGATATACGCGTACGTGGTTTAGGCAAAAATAATACGCCACCTGAGGTGGAAGTAGAGACAGCCGCCACTGTGACACCACAGCCAACCGGTTCTACGCGCATCTACTTCGAACAAGGCGCCTTTGAATCACCTATTTACTTAACGTCTCAACTCTTGGCGGGCAGTAAAGTTACAGGTCCAGCGATTTTGATCGATCAGCTGTCTACGATACTCGTGGAACCCGACTGCGTTGCTGAGGTGACTAAATATGGTGACCTCGTTATAAATATACACTCCGGTAAGCGTACTGTCGTCGACTGCAAGCTCGACGCCATACAGTTGAGCATTTTTAGTCATCGCTTCATGAGCATAGCTGAGCAAATGGGCAGGTGAGATTGTGGGAAAACAATTATTTTATATTTTTTTGTTGTGACTGAAAACCTTTGTGGCGTATTTATAGGGTTCTGCAACGCACTTCCATCTCCACAAACATCAAAGAACGTCTGGATTTCTCGTGTGCATTGTTTGGTCCCGATGGCGGTTTGGTAAGCAACGCGCCGCATATACCCGTACATTTGGGCGCTATGCAGGAGACGGTTCAATATCAGCTCAAGGTGCGTGGCGATAGCTTGAGGAATGGCGACGTTATTCTATCCAATCATCCCCAAGCAGGTGGCTCACATCTACCAGATTTGACTGTCATCACGCCCGTGTTTTATCGGTGAGTGGAAGAGTGAACTAATTTGGTTTGCGTGAAACTGTACAGTTGAAAGGCTATTGGGCGGCTGATTTGTCTGTCAAGAACTGTCTATATCAGACGTAGAGCTCGACCCGTTAACTACCTAAATGAAGTTAGGTCGCCGAGATAGTGATTACACTCTGTTGTGTAGAACGGACTGTCGTGGACGTTTCAGACAAAGAGTTACAGCTACGTCATAATGTCCAGGCTATTCAGATCCTCCCTATTATTCGAGGGAAGGCCGAAGCCTTATGCTGCTAGCATTATCAACCACTTCCAATAACTTCATATCATTCCTTCTCTCACTACTTTCTAGGGAACAACCGAAGCCCGTCTTCTTCGTGGCCTCTCGTGGTCATCACGCTGACATCGGCGGCATTACACCCGGCTCCATGCCGCCACATTCTACAGCACTTAATCAGGAGGGCGCCGCTTTCAAATCATTTTTGATTGTCGAGGGTGGCGTCTTCCAGGAGAAGAACATAATTGAACGTCTTACTACACCGACCGGTGCCAAGGGCGCCACCGGTACGCGTAATTTACCCGACAATCTTTCGGATCTTAAAGCACAAATTGCCGCTAATCACAAAGGCATACAACTCGTGTCCGAACTCATCGATAGTTACGGCTTGGACGTCGTGCAGGCGTACATGAATTATATACAACAAAACGCCGAGGTCGCCGTACGTGACATGCTCAAAGAGATTGCACAAAATGTACTCGAACGAAATGGCACAACCACACTGGAGGCGGTTGAGTACATGGACGATGGCTCACCAATTAAGCTTCGCGTTGAAATTGATCCCGAGAAGGGTAATGCGCTGTGTGATTTCACCGGCTCCGGTCCCGAAGTATGGGGCAATTGTAATGCACCACGCGCCATTACACTCTCAGCGCTCATCTATTGTCTGCGCTGCATGGTCGGTCATGATGTGCCACTCAATCAGGGTTGCTTGGCACCCATACAAGTCATCGTGCCGAAGAATTCGATTTTAGATCCCTCCGAGGGCGCCGCCGTTGTGGGTGGCAATGTCTTGACGTCACAGCGTATTGTTGATACCGTTTTGAGGACCTTCAGTGTGTGCGCCGCCTCCTGCGGTTGCATGAATAACATTACCATTGGCGATGAGGAGTGGGGCTACTATGAAACGGTAGCGGGTGGCGCTGGCGCAGGCCCAACATGGCATGGCGCTGATGGCGTACACACACACATGACCAATACACGCATAACAGATGCGGAGATAATGGAGTTACGCTATCCGATTATATTGAAACGTTTCTGCTTGCGCACCGATCGCTCAGGCGGCGCAGGCCGATTCCATGGCGGTGAGGGTGTAGAGCGTGAGCTACTCTTCCGCAAGCCGGTAACGTTGTCGATACTGACGGAGCGTCGCACCTTGCAGCCATACGGCTTGGAAGGTGGTCAACCAGCGAAGCCGGGTTTGAATTTGCTCCGCAAGCCGAATGGGCGTGTCATCTCCTTGGGCGGCAAAACGTGCATAGACGTAGAGACAGGCGTGAGTATTTACAATATTTGTACGAAATATTTCAGAAAATTTTTTAATGTTTTTGGCTTACTTTTCAGGATCTTTTTATGCTAAAGACGCCTGGTGGTGGCGGTTATGGCGTGCCAAATGAGAGCAGTGGCGACGCTAAAGTCATATCACAAACTGAGAAGCATAATTTAACCGAACGCGGCAGTGTTTTCGAGTATAGGCAAGCACAAGAGTCGGCTTGAAGCGTGAAGCAAGCGAGTGAGAAAGGAGCTAAGGAAATGAAAGTGCCTTCAGAAAATGATGTCAAGAGCTTTCAGTGGGTTTTATTTAGTAAGACAAAAGTGTTAAATCGGAATTTAATGATTTTACCAAAAAAAAATGACGTTGTTGTTGAAAAATTTTTAAAGTATAAAATATGTATGAATCGTTATTTTATTTTTTTTTATGCTTATTTGCAAATTATATTCTTTTTACATATATGTGTATATGTGTAATTAGATGATATCATATATAATGTGTACATAAGCTTTATATAAACTCAGCCAAATTAATTTTTTGTGCTTTTAAAAAATATGCAATAGAAGTATTAATTAAGAAATAAATAAATAAAAAGGAAATTTTAAAAATATTTCACAGTTGTCTGATAAATAAATTCTTTTGTTGCCTAAATTTGTAGATTTTATATACAACGCCTAATAGTAGGCAATGGTGATGTTGCTGAAATAATATATCCGCTGCTTTCGGCTGTTTTTTACATCCGCTGCCTAAAAGTCACTCGTAACCGACGCACAGAAACGTACTTTAAATTAAAAAATTTACTTTTCGAACAATAAGTTGTTTTTTCGAATTCGAAAAAATTGAAATTTAATTTTAATAAATAAAATTTACGAAGTCTAATAAAAAAAATCTCGAATTACAATTTAAAAAACATATTAAATTAAAAAAAGTTTCGAATTTTAATAAAAAAAAAAATATTTGAGAACTTTTATAATTAATAAGTTGTTTTTTTCGAATTCAAAAAAATTGGATTTTAAAAAATTTAATTTTAATAAAAAAAAAATTTCGAATATAAATTAAAAAAAAATATTAAATTAGAAAAAGCTTCAAATTTTAATAAAAAAAATCCTTGCGATTTTTTATAATTAATAAGTTGTTTTTTCGAATTCGAAAAAATTGAAATTTAAAAAATTTAATTTTAATAAAAGAAATTTAAGAAGCTTGATAAAAAGAAATTTCGAATTTAAATTAAAAAAAAATATTAAATTAAAAAAGTTTAGAATTTTAATAAAACAAAATATTTGCGAATTTTTATAATTAATAAGTTGTTTTTTCGAATTCGAAAAAATTGAAATTTAAAAAATTTAATTTTAATAAAAAGAATTTAAGAAGCTTGATAAAAAAAATTTCAAATTTAAATTTAAAAAAAAATATTAAATTAAAAAAAGTTTCGAATTTTAATTAAAAAAAACGAATTTCAATAAAAAAAATTTACTAATTTTATTAAAAAAATTTTACGAATGTTAATAAAAAAAAACTACAATTTTTTATAAAAAAAATTTCGAATTTTAAAAAAGAAATTTACGAATTTTAATTAAAAAAATATACTAACTTTTTATTCAATTTGTAAATATTAATTTTATTTTATTTTTTTTTTATTTTACATACACCTTTTACTACTTACCTTCTTCTTAATTTTTTTTAATAATGAAAACTTTATTTTTTTCTGAGAATTTATGTATGGAAGTTGTTTTTTTTTTTTACTTTTAAAATAATAGACTTCTACTACTAATTCAATGCATCTTTTTTGGTCCTTGTAATACATACAGATACACAATTTAAATATTCGTGCATAAATATGTATTTTGAATTATGAACTATGCATTATAATATTTTGTTGGAACTTACAGCACAATTTTTTTCTTACAGAATCTGCATAACTGTGATTTGATTGTTAATATATATATATATATTTTTTTAAACGTATAGATTTTATTTGATTTATTGTTTGTATGAGGAGCCCGAGGAAGTGGAAATAAAACAGTGAGGAAAATAGAATAAGAAATAAATAAAATAAAAAAAAACTATAAAATAAATGAAAATAATTATCAACTAAAAATTTTAGCAAAAAGTTAAAAGAAATTAAAATATTAAAATAAGATAAATTTGAACAAAATGAAACAAAAATTAAAATAACTAAAGATAATAGATTATAAATTAAAATACAACAAAAATTAAAATTAAATAAATTGAAACAGCATAAAAACAACATAAATTTAACTAATTTAAATAAAACTAAACAAAAATAAATAAAATTAAAATTAATTAATTAAATTAAATTATATTTCAATATATATAAAAAAAATAAACTAAAAACAAATTGAGTGCATATAAATAATAATTGAAATAAAATATACTAAAGTAAATAAAAAAATAAATTATAATAAAGTAAATTAATTAAAATCAAATCAAAATAAAATAAATTATAAAAAAGAAAATTTATAAACATAAAAATTAATTAAATAAATAAAAATTAAAATAAAATGAAAAATAAAACTAAAAAACTGAAACAAAAAAAAAAAAAGAAAAATTTTAAAATAAAAAATCAAATAATAAAATAGCAAACAGCAACAAAATAAAAACAACAGAAATGAAATCAAATATGAAATAAAATTTTTAGAATTAAAATCAAATAATAAAACAGCAAACAGTAACAAAAATAGATTGAATTAAATTAAATAAGCAAGCATAAAATGGAAAAAAATTATGAAATAAAATATAGCTTAAATTAAATAAAATTTAAATACATTAAATTAATTATAAGTAAAGTAAAAGATTCTCTTGTAAAAATAAATTTAATAAAAAATTATTTGAATAAATATAAATATTCAAAAACAAAGTTGCATACATACATACATTATTTCCGATCCCCATGCGTAGTTGTATGTTAGATACGGTATTTGATTTTTTTGGTTTTTTGTTCACTATTTTAAAAAGTCCTTACTTATTATCTTGTCTTTTTAATTTCTTTGTACGCAAATAATTTTCGGTTATCTTTGTTTTATTTTGTTTCTTGTTCTTTTGTTTGGCAATAGTAAAGCTTTGAAAAAACTATAATTTCCTACAGTGCTTAAACAATAAATTATTTCAATTTTTTTTCTGTCGTCACAAAGTGAAATACACACATATATCTCCATAATATATACATACAAATTTAAATACAATGCAATTATATCATTTTAACTTAGTACAATATATATAAAAAAGAACTAATATTTAATATGTATTATCATAATTTTCCGAAACTTTATTACTTAAGAATTTATTTTTCGCTTTTTTGTATTTATTTTGTTTTTATTTAATTTTTCTCCATATCACAGATTGCTCGAGATTTATCAAATTTTTTGTTTTTATTTTTGCTTCAACGTTAATAAAAGTTTAACCGCAATTTTGTATAATAAAAAGTAATGAAGAAAATGAGAAATTATCTAAAAAAAAAACAAATATGCTTATTTTTTGTGGATTTTTTTAGATTTTATAAAAAAGTCATTATTTTATTTAAAAAAAATATGTAAATAAAAATAAATTACGACAAAACTGCTAACTTGTTTCAGCTAGTAAATTATAAGCACATTTTAGCGTTAAATAATTTAAATCAGTAGCACAATTTCTATAAAAAATTAAATTAAAAAAGTTAAGTAAAAATAATAATAACAACATTATTTATGCATATTTGCCAATTTTTCCCACATATTGCGTGTTTTTCAGTTATTGATTTATATTCATATATTTTGTTTGTTTGTAATTCACAGTAGCTTATCGAAACGGTGTACAATTAGGAAATTCTAACATCAATAATTAATTATTTATTAATTTTTTGTTTGATTTTTTTAAATCTCTTTTTTTGTGTGTATTATTGTTATTTTTTCTTTAAATTATTTAATAGTTCACGTTGCATTAGACGAAAAAAATCTATTCATTATTTTAATATATTACATTTTATTTGCAATAAAATCTATATATTTATACACACATATACATACATACATATCTAGTAATTACAATAAAATACTCGCACTTATGTTTTGTTTATTTTATATATTTTATTTTATTTGTATTTTTTTAAATAGTAGTGATACGCGCGATAAGCAACGCTAGGCTTGGCTTTTAGCTGAGCTTTATGCCGCGACGTTTTCGTTTTCGTTTTCGTACAATAGATACAATAAATACATGCATACATGTATGGTAATATATACATTTGGTTTAAATATACTTTAATAACTCGAGTGTAATAACTTCAATCACCGTCCCTAACCATAAAATTGCAGTTTTTTTTTTTGCTTTCGTAAAAGTTTTTTTTTTCGGGACTAACGTGTTTTCAACTAACCATTTACATAAAATTTAAATTTCAAAAAATATTTTTATCGCGCTTCGTTTAATTTGTATCTCAGTATCTCATCTCCAGACTTATTTGATTAGCCTAAAAATTTCAGTTCTGTTATTAACCAATTCGTACTCTCCAAAATCACAATATTTATTATTTATTATTTAATTTTAATATTCTTTAGCATTTTTCTTTAGTTTAATATTTAATTTAATATTTTTAAGCTATAACCTTTAATTATTACTTGTCCAAATCGCACGAATCGCACATTTGTTTTCATAAATATTTACTTTTGTAATCAAACGCTGCTACTTCACAGTTGCAGTTGAACAACACAAATTTTTGTATTAATTATTTAATTTGCGCGCACGCGTAAATGTATGCACATATTCGTATGCACTTTTTTAATTCAAAACAAACACACAATCGCTCGACAAAAATTTTTTATTTAACCAGCTACTTGTACGCCATTTCCTTTATTTGCTGCTTTCCGCTTTAAGTGGTCACACAATATGCGCACATCAATTTTGCCCATCATCGATCAACAACGATTACTTTATCAAATAGCTATCGATAAATCGTTTCTTCGTTTCATTATAAACCGCTTGTTGTTGCTCAGCCAGAAAATACATGCCATATTCATTCATGTTTTTCAGTAGTTACTTATTGTTCGTATTGAAGAATTGATGTCATGAAGCAGTTGCATTAGCCGCTGCCGCTGCCGCCGCCGCTGCTGCTGCTGCGTCTTCTGGTGTACTGCTTCGATTGTTGTTGCAGACGAGCGCACTTAGTGGATGTGTAACTGGTGTAGTTGGTGGCACATCTGGAATTTTATGGCTTCAGTAATGAGCTAAAGTAATGAAGGGGGCGAAAAAATAATTGAATTATGCAAATACTTAAGGGTAACGGCTAGGCCAGGCTGAGTTGGCTGAGTGAGTTAAGCACAAATTATTAGCTTTCAATTAGGAGTTTTATTATTCAATACAAAAACACCCAAAACTGCAGTTAAAACCGTCGGTAAAATAATCCTTTGAAAATATGTAAACAAGTTTTGAAAATAAAGAAAACAGTAAAATTTTAATAATTAAAAAGTAATTATATCAATTGGCCGTGATCGTCACTAAAAGTTACCGGCAACCTAAATTGATCGATAACGTGCCAAATTGACAAGAAATGACAGACATATTAAAAATCAGCTACGTACTTATTTTCACTGCTGTAGAACACTTACGTAGGATCGCTGAACAGAAAAATATAAGAAATAAATATAATATAAGTAAAATTAATAGAATGAATAGAAAAAAAATGCGCTCTATTGGAAATTTCAATGACGTTAACGTTTTTTACGACTTAAACGGAATTGAAATAAAAGAGACTGCTTGAAGGACTAACAGCTGGTCTTGAATTAGAGCTACTATACTTCGTATCAGTAAAACAAAACAGAGATTGAGAATTTAACTTCCAGAGGTGACTTTGCTTAATAAATATCACCTTCATATCAAATGTGAGCTTTTCCTATAATAAAAATAAATAACGAAAACTATTGAACGTGAATATTGAATAAGTAGAATGCTTTAGTTAAGAGGAGGTTGAAAACGTTTTCTCCAAAACAGGCCTGCAAAAAGAACATTTCCGTATTGCGGATGGTACGCCTACAGTGAGTAGAGCATGTTGAGAGGATTTGTATTCAACGATTAGAGCAAGCTTTTAGCAAACAGTGAGAGAATAGCAGATAAAGAGAGCACTTTTTCCCTATCAAATCAAACAATAACTCTCCGAAGAGCTGTTTGAATGGATACAAAGACGCTTTAAGGCTAAAAATGCTTTTTTGTGTTACTGTGTTTTGTTATTTCACACATTCCGAGGCAAACAGCTGATTTCCGAAAAGTTTATTTCTTTAACCACTTTTTCTTTCGATTTAACCGTAACTCAAGGTACCAAATTATGATTGTTGCCCACCGAAATGCGTGCACGTAATAAAATTGCTGAATAAAACTAAATTGTATAATAGCAAATGATTTGGCTGGCAGAAAATGGCAAAAAATACTATGAGAAATCAGTTTTGTGTTTATTTTAAAAATATATGCGTTACTTTTCGATAACTTGTGCACGGAAACGGAAAGTCTTAAGTTCTTTCAGCAACATCTCTGATACCGCCAGTGTCAGGGGCGCCATCTATGTGTGAACTTTTTCATGCTCATACAAATAACACTTCTTCATCGTTTGCTTTCTCAAAATTTTTTTTTTTAGTTGCTTAATATTCATATTTTGTTTCACAAAACTGGCGTGAAAATATTGAGCATCTAGGAAAACTAAAAAACGATCGAAATAATCAAAATAAATGCAACAAATTGTTTACAAACTTCATTTTGGAAAAATATTTGCAGCTCAGACGCCAGACACTTTTTCTTATTTAACTAAACGGAAAACATTTACGTACATACCAATAGACCGAAAATAATTCTTTAAAAAATAATAAACAACAAAATGTCATAAATATTGTAGAATAGTAGAAACGCAGTGAGAAAATTTTGGATTGCATAAATTTATTTCATGAATCAAAAAAATTAAAATAAAATAAAGTTAATTTCGAAATTGCATAAAATCAGCATTTATGCTATTGTTATTATGTATTATTAATAATAATATTGTTTATATTGTGTTAGCGAATTGTTTTTCTACCATCTATATACATACTCGTATGCATGTATGTAAACCTTAATTCGAAGCAAATGTTTGTATATTTCTTAAACAACTAAATATTACATTTGAAATGAAATGGGAGGAAAAAATATTAATAATTAAAATAGTTATGAACTGAAAATTACACTAAAATATACACACATAAAATCAAATAAACAATTATTAAGAGCGTAATTCTGATAGACTATTTTTTAAACTTAAGATAGTAAACCAATTAATTTATAGATAAATTAACAAAACATTTTTGTAAGCATAAAATAATCAAGAGTTTTGTGAAATTATAATAAAAAGTAAAATGGAAAAGAAGAAACGAACATACGGCGAACTCCATCAATGGGGATGCTGCAATGGCATGAAGCTTGGCTTTTTGCTTATGATTAAATAGTAATTACAGTTACTAAATATTTATAAGATTGCGTGAGCATAGCGTGCAGCTGTTGCTTTCGGTGTTGTCGGCGCCCGTTGGGCGAACAAAAACACACAGCAGTCGCACAGTATCACCGACCGCCATCACCACTTGCGCCAACACCACCGCTGACGTTACCACCAGCGCCGACACCACCGCCACCACCACCACCACCACCATTCACCTCGATCGCGGCAGTGGTTGTTGTCGGCGTCGCACTAGACACCGCCGTCTCTTCGGTATTGGCGGATTTCTGTTGCGACTTATTGTTGTTTACAATATTCGTGCTGCTACTCACGACTGGCGGCGAACTGGTGCCACCGGTTGTGGACGTGACACCACCAACGGTGACACCGACATCGGGCACCGTCGTTGAGGGTGACAAATTGGTGCTAGTGTTGGTGACGTTGGCCATTTTCACTGGCGACTGCATGTCACTTGCACCGCTGGCCACCGCGAGCGCTGTTTCATTCGACGTCGCATTTTGTGTGTTTGACACAAGAACACCGGTTTTGGGCGTTTCACTGGCAGCCTTTTTAACACTATTGTTTGAAGGTACGGCCATTGCTTTGGAATTGTTGATGTAATTACCTGAACCTACACCTGTTCCGCCTATCGTATCTACACCGGGTTTCGCAGGCGGTGAAATGGATGTATGTGGCTCTGCTGATGTTGGCATGGGACTGCATTGACGTGCGGCATCCTCGGCATTTACGGTCACACTCATATTGTAAGCGGCATTGTTGCTATCTTTGGCGGCGACTGTTGGTGATGCCGATGGACTTCTCTTATCTTGGTTGTTGTTTGCGTTGAGCGTAAGATTTTTCGCTACCGTAATGCCACCATCTTTACGTTCTCTGTCGGTCGACATTTCGGTACCGCTACCATTCACTTCATTCGGATGTGTATTGTGGCCGCCACTACTGGCTATTGATGAGACCTGCACGCTGGAGTTCGAGTTGGAACCTGTTAGATCCAATGTGGCCGGCTCCAGTGCACTGGGCGCCAAAGTATTTGGTTTTTCATGTAGGCCGGCGTTTTGTTGATGTTGGGCAGCGCCAATGCCGAGCTGACGTGATGGATGTGGACTGCTGGCCGCACGACCGCCACCGTTTTGGCTATGCATGCCCGAGTTGCTGTTGTTTGGCTGTGGTTGTGCTACCTTCATTGTGATTGGTGATGCCGAGTGACTGCGACCCGAATTGGTAGTAAGCGAAAGCGGCATTGAGGTCGGCGGCTGTTGATGGGCAGATGTGGGCGCTAGACCAGCGTTGGAAAGATGTTGACTAGAGTGATGTGAGTGGTAGAGAGAGTTGCTCATTTGCGGAATGTGTGAGGACAGCGTTGAAGTAGGCTGTGTCATGCCGCTCGAGGACTGTAAGCCCGTAGCTGACGATTGTACAACATTACCGGGCACTGATACTTTCATGTTGGCACCCGCATTGCTTTGCAAGCTCAAATTCAAATTATGCGGCGATGTGGTGGTCGTCGATGTGGAAGCTATAGACGATGCATGTGGTGAAATTTGGTGAGTGGGCACCATTGCGGGATGGTGTGGTGAGATATGTGGATGAGTTAGATTTATGCCGTGATGCGACAATCCTAACGCGGCACCGGGAAAGCCGGGATGTGTTAGACCAGCCGCACCCGCATGTGTTAAGCCGAGCGCAGTTTGTTGCAGATGATGCGGTATACTACCGGGGCCATGCGAAAGCGATGACACACTACCGAGACCAGGCAGGCCGAGATTAAGTCCCATAGCGGCGTGTGGACTTTGGCGTTGAGTCGCTGCATGGTAGGCAGACATGGGCGGTAGGCTGTGTAATGCACCGGGCGGCGCACGCAAGCCTAAACTCAAGTGTGGCATCATCGGGCCGAGTAGATTGCGACCTAACGGCGAATATAACTGGCTTGTATAGTGATGCGAAGCAGTTAGTATCTGTCGTTCGCGTTCTCTGGCTTCACGCTCTTTCTCACGCATTTCGCGTTCACGCGCCTCTTTCTCTTTTTGCTCCTTCTCACGTTGCTCCTTTTCCCGCTGCTCGCGTTCTCGCTGCTCCTTTTCACGCTGTTCCCGTTCTCTTTGCTCCCGTTCACGCTCACGTTGTTCCTTTTCCCGCTGCATTTCTCTTTCACGCTCCTCTTCTCTAGCAATACGCGCCCGATGCTCCTCCTCCAATTTCATGCGTTCATGCAATGCAGAGCCTAAACCAAGCGCGGCACCCGGTATCATCGAGTACAGATGCGATGCATAGGGTGAAGCCATTGGCGGATACAGTGCGTGGGGATGTGTATGGTGAGAGCCGGCAGCACGCAACATTTGAAAGCGTTGATCTAAGTACAATTGATCGGTATAAGGCAGACCGGCTGGACTCAAGAAAGGACCTAGAAACAGAGAAATTACATTATTTACATCTGCTAACGCCGCTTTCCCACAGCGAGCACACTCACCTGGCGGCATGGTTGGCAAAGCTGCAAAGGTGGCATAGGCGTCCAGAGGAAAAGCGCCAGCCGGATGTATAAGACGTTCATCCGATCGATAGGGCTGAAAACCGCTGCGCGCCAATAACTCAGGTTGCATTTGCACCGATTGCTGCGACGAAATGCGCGGCATCTTCTCAGTCAATTGCGGAGGTGTCGATGTACGCTTTTTGGCCATTAAACGTTCGTCCACGCTGCTGACTTGCCCACCCCCACCACCAGTCGGTGGTAGACGTTCATTTGCCATGGAAGAACGAACAGAATTCGAAACGTTTATGTTGCTGTTGGCAACACTAACCACAGCGTTAATACCGCCGCTGCCAACACCACCACCACCACCGCTGCCGCCGCCGCCGCCGCCGCCGCCACCACCGCTACTGGTCAACTGTACTGGCCGCTCCGTGCGCTCACCACGTACGTTAATATCATCCTCCTCCTTGATATCGGCTTGCTTAGCCAAATTACGTAGAGCTGAGGCGAAGGGGCCGCGTGCACTTGATTGTGCTGAATTCAATGCATTCGGCACGCCCACCATTTGCTGCTGCTGTTGCTGCTGTGCTTGTGCGGCAGCAGCTGCTGCGGCAACGGCCTGTTGGTGTTGCTGTTGTTGTTGTTGCAATGAGGCAGCCTGCAGGCCACTCAACTGATTTGGCGCCATGACGTGATTCATTAGCGCCGGATTGGTTGTCATTTGCGCAGCCGCTGCGGCGCCGCTGTTATTGCCCGCGCCAGGTGTGTTGGAAGGTGATTGTATATGATGTGGCGAAGGGATGGGTGGAGCTGGACTGGTTGCTGGGCGTTTTTGGCCGCTCTTTGGAGGAACTGTAATAAAAAAAAATAATGTTATACATTTTTGTTTCGTAAAAATATTAGAAGTTATTGAATCTTATAAAACAGTTAATAATTGAAGTAAAAAAAAAGTATTGGCCTTATTGTATGAAAAAAATGGTATATCCACGTTTAAGTTATAGACAACAGCTAACTGAAAAACATAACAGCATCTGTTCACAGCTGACGGCGAGCAATGTTATACCGCATTTCCACGACAGCTCAATTACGTGTTTCGCTCTCTCAATCGTAACTCGCACTCCAAATGCATGACGAATTATTTAATTCGCCATATAAATTTTTCAATGCGAATTAAACAAAAAGCGGGTAATTCATTCTCAATTACCATGCGAATTATGACCAAATTGTTGCCTTGTCTAATTTTTATCGGAAATTTATCGAAAACAGTTGACAAATCAAAACAAAAAAAAATAAGAACCATAAAAGAAAACGCTAAAACGCAATCATTTATATGAAACCAAAACACTATCTGTTTATTAAAATCGAAAGAATTAGAAATTATTAATTTAATTTATTATTTATGTGTGTTCGCGTCCGCAATGGAGACGACGAACATTGTAATTCACGAAGCCGTGGAAAAGCCGTGTTAGTTGTATTTCTAATCGATTAATTCAACGTATGTCAAGCCAACGTGTTAATCGATTAATCAAGATCGGTATTTAATTAGTGTTTAAAGAGATGCTCACCTCTTTGGTTTGTTTATTTATATATAAATAAATAATAATGACAATATTTAACATATAATCAGGTATATAAATATATCAGGTTTATAAAATAGAGATGGTAAACTCGAATCCTCTATCGATGATTATGGAAACGACGTTCCGAAAACCGGTTATGAAGAAGCTCGAATAACGATTACCGCTTAAAGAATGGCAAAGCGGTGAAAGCCAATGGCTTACTAGCTGAAAGAAAGAATATCCGACGATTAGGACCAAAGTGTACTTTCCTCAAACCATGAAAAGCGTAATTTTACAATGATATATTGTACAATCATTTGATATCGCATATAAGGTCTTATCGTACGTATTATGTGACTGTGATTGGACCTTATCAGTGTGATTTTAGACCTGGTAAATCCACCATTGACCAGATATTCTTTATGCGTAAAAAACAACTGCCTCTACCCCGCAAAGTCTGATTTTGATATTCCTGCAAAACTTATACGGCTGGACGCAGACGTCAAAAACCGCAGACTGGGTTATACAGTGACCTTGATAGAGTTCAGTGAATTAATTACGCTGACTGAGTCAGTCGTTCGAATGAATAATAGCAAAGTGTTCGATGCATTTTAACCGCCGGTGGAAGCGGAGAATGAGGAAGTAGAGGTTTATGTTGGAAAAGTTAGGTGGTTTCATTTCCATTTCCAGCTGGTGCCAAACAGCGAAGAGATGGAACTAATGATGCGCTATTGTTCATTCACCTATCATAGGCCTACGCCAATGAATGAAGAACAAGAGGTATTCAAGTGCACGACTTGCACAATATGTAAATTCAAAGAGATGTCATAGATCTTTTTTGCGAAAGAAATTCCCCGGTCTCAACGTTGGTCTTTCTTTTTTTCCGTAGCGTAGCCCCTGAAAGACCGTATTTGAAGAGATAAACCGTTAACACTGGGTCAAGTTATGGCAGAGATACCGTCCAATATGTATCACAGAGTGTACGAAAATTACCTCAAACGGTTAAAATTGCATTATATCCATGTATATATGTATGTATGTGCATATAAATTTGTGACCTGTTTGTCGTTACTTTGAAAATTTAATTAATTTGATTACTGCATATGGAAAACAATAAATGAATATACATACATATTACGAGTACCTGCCCGAAAATGCAAGTTGAGGTCAAATAACAAAAAAAAAAAACAAATAATGATACCAATAACTCTAAACGCCCCACGCAAACAAAAAAACACCCACAAAATATGCACAAAAATATGAAATTCTGATTTTCTCTGAATTTTAATACAAAAAATCCTCTTACATGCATACAATCGTACATACGTACAAGTACGAGTACGCTTTGATAATAGACAGATAGATAGGATAACATTACCAACAACTCACCACAAATCGGTATTGGCGCATGGATGCTGGGCAATCCTCTCGGTAGCCATTCCATCATTTATATTACGAATTCTATATATATATATATATATGTAGGTATGTATGTATGTAATGTATATATTCACACGCTGAACGATGGCTGAGAATGAAACACGAAACACGTGTGTATGTGGTGTGCGTGTGTGAGAAGCGTTTGCAAAAAATGTGAGCGAGCCGTGGTTAAACGCCGGCGCGCGAGCGCTCGTCCAACCGGAGTACTAAAGGAGACTCGAGTACGAGTAGTTTGTTTTATTTGCTTTTGAGTTGTTAGGTTTTTATTTTATTTTTTTTCTAGATTATAAATACATAATTCTCACTGGTATTTGTTCAATTTTGACACACTGTAGGTATTTTTTTCTTACACTTTACTTTGTAAATTTTATATATTTCTATTTAAGAGGCTCGTCGTGCTTTCTCTTACTACCTTCGTTTACATACATACATATATGTATATGTACATATTAATTTGTCTATCATTTCACGCTTAACACATTTATAATAAGTTCCATCTGCGCGCGGTCGTTGGTGTAAGTGCACACTAAACTGTAGGTATATTAACACTGAATGAAGCATATACTCGTATAAAATACAAAAACAATAAACGTTGTGTAGAAAACACGTAACCACAAAGTATTGCTGTGTCCACAGGGAAAACAATCTAAAAAAACACACATAAAAGGTAAACAATAGCGGAAACAATTTTCAAGAGGTGAGGTGAAAACAACATACACACACACTCATACACATACGAAGATACAAAAAATGCAATTGGAAAAGGAGGCGGGGTGAATTGAATAGTAGTAGAAGCAGCAGCAGGAGCAGTAGCGGCAGGAGTGGTAGCGGCAGGATTGGCAACACAGCACAAGGGGTTGAAAAGGCTTTTGTTAACATTTCACACGTACATACTCGTACATACAAACATCCATAAGCGCACAGCGAGGTAAGTACGGTGAGGGTTATACAGTCGAGCTATCATCAGACTACAAACATACATATATACATACAAAGTACGGTAAGTAAAAACCACTCATACAGCAACCGCAATAAAATGCAAGGATAACGACATGCCGTTACGCTATATGCGGTCGCACTGGGGGCACACTTACAGTGGAAAGAAATCCCAATTTGTACAAACATTTACACAAAAAAAAATATTTAGATTTTATTGAATTTATTTCATTAATAAAAATGCAGCCCTAAATGCAGTTGCATAGTTAAAAACTTAACTGACAACTTTGTCTAGAATCACAACCAAGTTCATGTTGTTTTGATAGTTAGAAGTAATAAAAAACACATGGTGACTACTAATAATGTTTTATGCAGTATTTTTTCTATTAAATAAACTACGCATTCATTTAAATGCTTACAAGGACAAGTCGTTCCAGAAATAAAAAAAAAAAATTAATTAAAGAAAACATAAAATATAATCGAAAACTTTTATTAGCAAGAATTTGGTCGGCAAGTGGGAGCAAGCAACGTAAACAGCTGATTGCGACTGATTTAACACATGCTTGTTAAATAAATAAAACAATTGAATGAATATGAGAATTGCTGAATTTTTCTAATTGCAAATAAAAAATTAAAATATAAATATTAATTTCGAATAAATATAAATAAAGGAAAATAAAATGTATGCTTGATCAACGGGCATTACCCAATGCATGTCTGTGGCTAAAGTCCAAAAGCTCGCGTGGCAAACGGGTCTACCAGAAAAAACTCGATTTTTATCCGTCCAAGTACTCGCTCAATATTCTCCAAAAACGAATTTTTGGAATATTTTTGCCATAACAACTACAAAATCGACAACGAAAATCGTGTCTTTATACCAGAACGATACAGATTTTTATCCAACCAAAGAACGTCACTCATGCAATGTTGTTGAATAATTTGCTCGTAACAACAACAACTACACAATTTTTGAGAGACTAAGTATGTTACGGAATAACTGTTGATTTGCGTAGCTGCATAGTTGTTAGTGGAATTTTTAAGACACAAACTCATCAGTTACAGCAAACCAAAGAGTATCAATTTTTAATTGAAAACTTTTTGGAGTGAATTACATAAAGCAAACTATAATTCTCAACATTTGCTGAAAAAAAACATTAAGAGCACAACCAAAATATTAGGGAAGTTCAACAGAAGATCGCTAAATATACATATGAAAAATCCATTAAGGGCGTTTCTAGATGTAAGACCTGTAGGCTCAAATCGAAAGACTAGTTATAGAGGATTGTTTTGGTACTTATGGCAAGACCTCTGGCCATACAACTAACATTCAGAACGGCAGGGGTTCCAGAATTTTCCGGCGGTAAGACATCCATATCGTAAGAGGTGCTTAAAACCCAAAAGTTTCTGTGACTGTCGCAAAACTCTACAAAAACTATTTTGTGGAATACTTTTTGGACTATAACAACAACATCTAAGGCGAGGGCTACTCATCTGTGGGAAATTGTGATGAATATTTTTGCGTTTACAACACTAACAACAGGCGTAGGATACGAACCATGGAACATAAAAAGTTATAGAAAAAATTATATTAAGATTTTTTTAATGTCCGGGAATGTCAACCATTCCTCAACTTAAATTAAAATAAAATTCCATCAAAAAGCTATACCAACCGTTTGGAGGCGGCTTATTGCAAACATTAAATGACTACATTTATTGGACAAAGACAAGAAAACGCAAGTTGTAGTAGGAGCTCGGATGAGGAGCTTCAGAGACTCTACTGTAGAACTGCTTAAAAGCCTTAGAAGATTTTTTTATTTTTAATTTTGCACACATATCTACTAATGCGAAAAAATATTTTCAAATATGGCAAGTTTCTCTTCAAAACACTGTAAGTAGTTTTCACTTCGCTATTGTTAT